GAATTGTTGCATTTTAAAGTTCAAAGACCAAAATAACATTAGGCCCCCTAATTTTAATATTTTATACTTATATGCATTTATTATATATAAATGAATTAAAAATATATTTTTAAATTTTTAAAATTTTCATCATTTTAAACACAATAAAATAGTTGAGGATTAAATTCGAGTTGTATCCAATGTGATAGTCGGATGTGAATACATATATAGAGGTTTGATAGCCGAATGCAAATGCACATGGATCCAGATCCAAATCCAAATTCCATCCAATTACAGCCTAATGGTAAGAGTAGGATCACCTGCCAACGGAATACATTCCAATACCCTACCAACATCATCATCACATATCTCACTTTTATGGAAGACCGGATCTCCTCCTCACACATGACGCCTCACACCAACCTCACAGACATTTTACCATGCATTGAAAGCATCTCTCGTATATATGTATTATTATTTATGAGAGATGTTCCTAATACACGATGGAACGTGCTTGTAAAATCGTTGTGAGGCGTCCTGTGCGAGGAGAATATCCCAATTCCTTTTATAATAGGCCCCAGTAATGCGGTATCGCGTATAAGATAAAGTTTGTTGGGAGGAGATCCCAACTCCTATTGGTATCCTTGGTATAAACATCCAGGTGACCCAGATCCTACGTGTCAAACTCTGTGGGCCTCAAAGGGTCCACATATTTACCACGTCAACCTATAGTCGTTAGTAGACAAGTTCCAACCTGCTCAGCAGCCTCTTGTCACATTTTGCTGGTCACGGGATCTGCTCCTCCTGTTGTTAGTGAGTTACAGTTAATAACGACCGTCGACCGTCGTTCTTTCTTCTGTCGTTATTGTGGTCCGTAGCCTTTTTCCCTCAAACTGGTACGGGTGTGGCCGTGTGGGTCATGTGGAGTTGATCCGTTATCTATCTACAGTGGGATGTTTTGGCAGGATAAATTGTTGGAAGCGTGAGATGTCACCTTTCATGGCGTTGAGGTTGTTATGTGCCTGAATTGACTAGCAAAGCTCAAAGAATACCAAACCCACTTTTGTCAGATAGCTTTCCAGTTTCATCATAACTCACTGTTTAATTTCCCCTTTCCTACATGGCTTCTGCAACCATTTTCAGAAGCTGGTCCTGTTTTATTTCCCCATTCCTAAGAGCAGCCTTATTGGTCCCTGTTGCTCAATGCTCATGACATCTTAAATACTCATGGTTTCAAGAGTTGTAGGAAGGACAAGACCATCTAATTAACTGGGATCTAACTTGGGTAAATTCTCTGCCAAAGAATTTTGATTCAAGGAATGGACCAGGTGAAGACACAGATTTTGCCCAATGGGGATTTTATGTTTGTTGAGAAAAAGTTGGAAATTAAAATCACCCAATATTGGTCATGACATCTTAAATACTCATGGTTTCAAGACTTGTAGGAAGGACAAAACAGGCTAATTAATTGGTCATGGCATCTTAAATTCTGTCAAAGAATTTTGCTTCAAGGAATGGACCAGGTGAGGTGAAGACAGATTTTGCCCAATGGGTTTTAATTTTAATGCTGTTGAGGAAAGGTCGGAAACTAAAACTACCCAACAGGTTCAAGATTTTCTTTTGGAGGGTTCCTGGAGAGTTTGTTGGGTGTATTGAAAGAAACTGTTTGTGTCCTATGTTTGGAGCTGTTAATTTTGCTATTCCTTGGGGCTTTGGAATTCAGGATACATATGGGCAAGGTCTCAATGGACCAATTTTGGATTGGACCCCGTTCAGTCAAAAATTAATTTGGATGAATTGGACGGACCAACAAGATAAGAATATAAGTGTTATATTGGATTGGATTGGACCTGGTCTGTCCATAATATTTATTAGATTGGATTGGACCTGGTCTGTCCATAATAAATTTATATTGGTTGGATTAAGCCAATATATGATACATTGATATAAGATAAGAATATAAGTGTCAATAGACCGAATTTGTGTTAAAACCAATCTAAATCAAAACAAATTTAAACAGATTGGATGGTCCAGACATTAAATTGGACCGGTCCAAAATGATCCAAAATATTCCTTGAATTAGATTGGACCTGGTCCATTTATAATGGACTCACATTGAATTGGATCGGATTGGACCGAATCTAGTCCAACTGACAACTCTACATATTGGGGATCTATTACCAATTGTATAATTTCTTTGTTAGATGGTTGCCCTCAGAGAAATTGGAGGTTTTATCCTGTGGTTTGTTAAAACTTGTTATTATATTTGGGTTAGCCAGGAATGATCTAATATTTAACAACAAGGAAAGGTTCGGTCATTGGATTCTTATGCACACCACCTGGAAAAATTTTAATGGGATCTCAGATATGAATTTCAGTAATGAAAATACAGACAATCTGCAGGAAGGGTCCAACTGGGTAAATAAATATCTCCCTGTTTTACAACCAAGAATTTTTTTATAAGATTCCCAGTTATGGTGGGGTTAAAGCTAAGGTGGTAATGAGGGTTCCTTTGGAGTAGTTAGTAGTAATAATTCTGGTTTGTTCTGTTTTATTGGAGGTGTTCCTATTAGCCTTTGTTGATAGAATCAGACTCTTAGCTTTGTTGGTCAATTTTGGATAAAATTAGGGTGATCTCTATGAATTTTGAATGAATTTGTTTTAAATCTATTTGGGAGGAAGATCAATGAAGCTGCACATCTTGTAGCTCAGAAGGAAAAGTGTTTTGTTCAGGAAGTAATATGGAGGAATTACCCAACTGAGTGATCAAGTAATTATGCTTGTATGTAGCAATCTGTTTCCTCTTGCTCTTGTGAAAGTTATTTCTTACATTAATTAATCTAGTTCTCAATCACAAAGAGAAGACAAAAACAAAGGGCTTATTTATTTATTTGTGTGTATGTGTTTTGTCGTAAGCTGTAGCAATATATTAATTCTCAAGTGGGACATGCATCTACGACAGAAGAGGGGATCCAAGGAAGATAATTGTCCTCTGTATCTGAATTTAATTACCTAAGGTTGCATTTAATAACCCAAAAAAAGCATATAACCTGAGGAGAATGGGATGCACTATTGCACTTTAATTTGCTTAAGGTATCGCATCATCTAGAGGAGATTTTGTTACCTTTCTACATCTGGGAAAGCCAATGTGAAGAGCAGAAGAGAGTACTACTGTACAAGTGCAGAACTATTGGGGTTATTTTGTTTCCTTTTTTTTCTGTTTCTTTTAACCCCAAACACATAGGTTGTAGGGTATATATATGTGAGAGGATGGGATAGTGATCTAGGCATAGGATGCCAGCTTGCTGATCTACTCAAGTCACAAGATGTTGATGCAACGACCTATGCACAGAAGCCTTGCCAACAAACCTAACAGATGACCCACAAGCTTAACGTGGGGAAGGAAGGGAGCCCTATTAGGTCATTGGATACCAGCATGTCTTTAAGTGATATTTGGTCATTGTGTCAATGTGTTGAACACTGAGAGGATGGGTATGGAAAGTAAGTAATACTCTACCCAACTCTGCTGTTATCTTATCTACTACCACAGTCCAAAAGAAAAATCACCAAGTGAGGACACAAGGTGAGACACGGTGACAGGAGGAGGAAATGAAAGATATTGAATGCATGTGAAGAACCAATGGCTGAGAAGCCCCACGCCAACATTAAGAGGGAAGTACACTCTTTATCGACCAAACTTACCTACCAAAAAGCATACCCATTAAGTAACACCTATGCTATAAGAAACCATTTCTCTCTCTCCCTCTCTCCTCAATTTGGATTTCCTTTCCTCCTGTTTACTTTACTTTGTACCAGCTTCACTTTTTGGAAAACTACAACGGGGTTGGGACTTGGGTCCCATACCCAACCTTTACTTTACTGGCTTAACAAGCTGAAGAGGTCGTTCTATTGTAAAAGCTCTCCATCTCCAATTCCTTGATTTGCTTTGATCCCTTGAACAAGAGTGGTATTTTCCTACAGCTGGGCCGATCGAATTCAGTACTCACAAGACTATATTCACATCATTTTCATAGCTTTTCACAGTTATACATTGGAAATATTTACATACATGTATGTCTTGTTCATGAGGAGAGATATTCTCGTGCATTAGGAATATCTTTGTACATGTACTTGTGAGGATCAAACCCGATTTCAACTGAGCATAATCATTACCTGATCTAAGGATCCCTTTCATTAACCGTTGGAATTAGAATCAGAATCAGAATCAAAATCTCTTAGAATTAGAATTGGAATCGCTTGTTTGCTTGATTCAAATGGTAATGGAATAGGATTTCATGTAAGGAAAAATCGGGTTTAATAGATTTTTAAGCCACTTGTCTTTTCTTAGCTGATTGGAATGAGACTCTCATTTCAAAGGGGAGGCAAGAATGGCAATTCCATTCCACTAGGAGTGGGAACCGAAATCCCATTTCACCCAATGATGAAACAACTAGTATTCTGATTCCGACTCCAAATCCCTATTCTCATGAACCCTACCTTTACTTCAAAACAAGAACAGCCTAAATATTTCCTCGTTCCAAGTTTGGTGCCGGCCGGCAATGAGGCATATATATCTGTGGATTATGTAATTTCCAAAAGTTTAATCAAACGACTTTCCTGGAACCAGTTATGATTCATGAAAATTTTGTGAAAACCAAACCAAGAATTTTGGAAGTGCCCCCGTTCGTCAATGACCCGTTTCCGTGGCATTAATGTGAAATACGGCCCAATTCCAAAAAGAAAACCGGAACAGCTAAGAGCATACGTTCCATTGGGAATGATCGATCCATTAACGAAAGTGGTCCGTCCATTACATCCAGCGAACGGTTCCGATTAACGACGGGGGTCCTACAATTGCATTTGTTAATTTTGGAGATAYGCGAGGCATATATTTTGGTATCCACGTCAAGCGTTTCCAAATTCCAAGTGGGTATTAGACATATCGAGAAGCCCGTAAAGAAGCCCGAATCGATATAATTGCATACAGATAGTTGTATCAGAGCCTAAGAAAGCGAGTTAAATTAAACAAGATTAACTCAGATAGTGGTCGGATATATATATTTATTTCCAGAATTATATATTTAACTCCGAAAGAGATAGAGAGAGAGATAAGTAAACCAGGATTAATACACAGTCGGTTTGGGTAATTGGGTTGGGATTGTTAATAAAAAGAAAAAGACAAAACTAACGGCCATTTGCAAGGAGACTAACGGCGTTTTCCTTGCAGGGGCTTGGTGGTAGACTGCTCTTCTTCGAAGCAACAAGCCGTTGAACGAAGTTCTCAATTCTCTGTCCGTTCGTCGCCGTCAGCAACCGCTTCCCTCCAAATGGTAACGACTCCACTCCCCTCTCCCTCAGTACATCCTCCATTGAGGGCTCCCCGATTTCCGTTTCGAAGCCGTTGACCTGTACCTTATCGCCGTTAATAACAGCCACCGTTAAATGAAAGTAAAAATAGAATAATCTTTACTAAGAATACGGTACCTGAATCCTCACGTAGTCCATACGATTCCAACAAAATGCGTTCCCGAGCATTTGATCGATGGTTTCAGAGACGCCGTCAAGAACAATGTCAATGACTGACGGCGTCGAGCATTCGCCGTTGCGTTTCAGTCGCCGGCGTGTGGAGCTACTCAACGGCCCGTTACCTAACGATAGAACGAGCAAGTCTTCGACGCCGTTAACGGAAGGGAAATCCCGTTTGTTATGCAAGACGTGAGTAACGGCAGCGGCGGTAGGGTTGTTCATGACAAGACCTCCATCGATAGCCAAGCAAGATGTTTTGCCGTCAATGGAGGTTAACTGGAACGGCTTGAAGAGGCTCGGAGTGGCGGATGTGGCACGGCAGACCTTCCAGAGTTCGAAATCGAAGCTTGGAGATTCTGAAGCGTCGGCACGGGAGAAGACAAATGGCGCAGAGCTATTCAGGTCATAGCAGGGGACGAGAAGAGGCTTGCACGTGTCCTTCAACGTCAAAAACTTACCGTCATTCCTGCGTAATACCGCCTTCAAAACATTGTCGATGCACTTATCGGAAAATCTCTGTCGGCGACGGAGAAAACCACCATTCTTGATCTTGAACATCGTGGACTGATTCTTCATCACGAATTCAACGGCATCCTTGGCGGTGAAGATCGGACGACCGGTGCCGTCATCTGCCGTCAGCATTGCAGAAAAAATGGCGCCGATTCCAGTACCTGCGAGGACATCGAAGAAGTCGACGATACGAGATTGAGGATCGCCAGTCCTGGATTGGATCTGCTCTTCGAGATGGATTAAGGCTGCACCGGCGATTAGGCCTTTGGTTCCTCCACCATCGATGCTGAGAATTCTTGTTTTCTTGTCCTCGCAATGCGAGAGCCATTTCTGTTCAAGTTTCGAAAATATCTCTAACGTCATTTTACTAAGCTCCATTTTGATTTGCAGAATGAGACCGAAGTCTTGATGAGGAGGTATTTAGGAGGTGTTGAAGCTGTCGATCGTTGCAGATTCTGAGATGGAATCCGTGAAAAAGGAAAGGTCACGCTTTCTTCTTGAGATGCATTAATGGAGCAAAAATTTTTGCTTCACTGTCCACTCTTTCTATCAAAGTATCAATGACTCTGCTACGCTCTCTCTCTCTCTCTCTGTCTCTCTCTCTCTCTGGCTCTCTGCGTAAGCGTGTCTGAGACTCTGAGTGCGGGAGGAACGTTTCAGGAGTATAAGAGTATTTATATCGAGTTATCGACGAATACCTCTCTAGTCTCTACCCCTCTACAGTTCGCTCCGTCTTTCCTTTTACTCTTTGATTACTTTTTATATATTTAATATGTGTTTAACCGTTTTACTCTGGGTCGGCGACACGTGTTTGCTTCCTTCTGTCGCGCGCACGTGTAACTACGGCGTGTCTTATTGGCTAACAGTGCCAAAAGATTCGGCTATTTGATCGGCTCGGCGCAATTTCTCGGTCCCCTATTTAATATTTTTCTTGTACTTATGTGTTCTTGCTGAGTTGGGATCTCTACCCAACAAAATACGTTCCAACACCCTTAGTATCGTTTGCCAAGTCTTTTCATAGATCTAACAATTAAAAGACGATGTAAATATTTGCATTAAGATTTTAATACTTTAAAGACTGTTTGATTAAAATGCGTTTTTTTACATGAAAATGGTTGAAAAAGGTGAAAAGTTTCATTCAGAGCTTCTTAAAAATAATCTAAAACGGGTCTTCCATGTCTTTTTGAGGTTATGACTTTTGACGATTAAATCTTTTCTCAATTAAATGAAAAAAAACCAAAACGTGGACTATCAAATTTCTTAAAAACCGATAGCCTATACAAAAAACTCACCAAAAGGGGCGTTAGTTTAATGTTGATAAAGTGTTGGAACGTATTTTATTGGCAGGTGATCCAATCATCCAAACTCGTTTATGCTATCCATGAGCGAGAATTGTAGTTTGTAGGTAACCGTAAATCCAGCATCGGACTTGCTGAATTCTAGCTTTACGCGCATTTAGTGCACGTAGACGCTATGCGTGCGTGACTTTGCTTGACTGACCATCTTTGATCTTTCCGGCGTACATGGGCCGGGTTTAGTCAAGCTTAGATGAGACTAAGCCCATACCTTTTTATGTAATCTTCTTTGCTACTGGGCCCAACCCTGGACAATTCATCTTTCCAAAGAAAATCCTGCAACAACTAATGCATTTATGGTCGAATCGTTTAACCCGTGACCAACAGCCAGAACCGGATAGTGAAGACGTGGCGTCATCATTAATACATTGGTTTTTGGTAAAAAAAATAAAAACAGTAGATTTATTAATAAAAATGGGGGAAATATCATGGTTTTGTTTCAAGAAACCACATTATATATCATAAATTATATGGATTAGAACCACATAGCTAGATGGCCTCTTTCGAGGGGAACCCTAACAATGGCAAGATTAAAAAAAAAAAGATTATCTGACACGTATTTTTTTCTAAAGTTTTACACAAATTTCATATTATTACAAAATAAAATAAAATTGAGTAATCAAGAGGATACTGAAAGGATTTGTTGATTATATTGATCATTTTGAGATCTAAACCCGGTCTGATTAAGCCAAGTACAAACCTTGGGCGGTTGATTTGCTTTGTAAATTGAATCCGAATAGACCCTAATAATTGGGTTAGAGCTAAGTAGCAAAAGTGAAAAAAAAAAAAAAACTCATGGAACATAATGTTAATTGACTTTTTTATTAAAGGCAGAACATGTTTAAATCAAGTATCAATTGGATTGGATTTGCATCCCAATTTTGGACAGGGATGCTCAACAATAATGTATGATTTTATTAAAGAAACAATTCTCACATCAGCAAAATCAATATAATTTTACTTTTAAAAACAGTCATATATATATATATATATATTGGTGAACGTCTCCGAACCCTAAGACAATGGGTTTTAAATTTTTTTAAGAAAAAAAATATATACCAAATTGAATTATAAGAAAAGCAAACAAATATAAAAAATATGGGATATTTATTTATATATTTTTACATTAAAAAAGGTGAAATATAAAAATGTCCCGTGGGATTTCATTCTAACAAAAACCTTCCCTTGTAGTTAAAAAAAAAAAAAAAAATTACAGTTGCCTCCCTTCCATCATTGTCCCAAATGGAAAATGTAGGGCTAATGCATTAAATTTTAAAATACCCATTTTACCCTTGTGTCTATCAATACAAACAAAGATTTATTAAAATGCCCCTAAAAGAACTTTCAACTCTTAACTAAAAAATTCCCCAAGTCAGATTGAAAACAGTAAGGTTCAATTTGAAAGGAGTACAAATACAAATATATAGAGTACAAAACCTGCACATATTTATATTTGTATGCTTTACAAACCTAGCCTAATCTAATTTTACTTTGTAAGCTCACAAGGATCGAACAAAGTCTAGAAGGGCAAATTTGACAATTTAAATTATATTAGAAGATGTCTTAACGAATAGTAAGGACAAGTTTGTAACTTCCAAGTCAGAACAATGATAAAAGGAAAGTAACTACATGTTTTTTTTTTTCCAAAACTATAAGGGGTGTTTTTATTAAAGTGAACCTCAGGGGAGGTTTTTATACTTTACCATTTGCATGTGTATATTTAATCATAATTAGAAGGGAAGAGTAAAAGAAGAGAACTTGGATCCAATCCTCACAAGACCATGCTCACATCGGCCTCACAACCACATGCAGCTGTGCATTGAGAATATCTACCCATAAATAAAAACATGTAAATACACATAGATATATATTCTCAATATACAGTTGCAAGTTGCTATAAATACAATGTGAGCACGGTCTTATGAGCACTGAATTCCATCATGAAATAAGAGGCAAATGAGGAGTGAAAATCTAGAGGAGGGGTATGGATGAAGGTTGGCTGATTCTTAGTCATGGACTTTCTCCAAGTTGTACTGGAAGAATTACCACATAGAACGGTTCTGTGCATTAAGTTTACCTAGCTTGTCGAGCTATTACCAGCAAAAAAGCACCAAATTGCATCAGTCTGGTCAACGAACAACAATTATCATCTATTTGAGTAATAAGCAAATTAAGCAGAATCATGGTATTTATGGGCCTAAACGTCTCCTTCACAACGACAGACACCCTACAAATGAAAACGAGTAAGCTAACCAGACCAATATATGCTTGCTTCCTTGACAATATTGAGTGAATTAAGTAAGATCGCTTGGGAGAAAAGATGATAGCCCTCCTACTAAAAGATATCTTTGCTATATAATGCCAATACTTGCAAAGACATTGATGCAACTACCACTATCTTCACTATTATATTATAATTAGTATGTCACTTTCATTCGAACCCGGATCTGATAAAAGCAAAAAATGTGCAAACATGTTGAAAGCACAGCATCAAGTAACATCTCCCTATGAATTTAGCATATTAATATGTGGCTCGATATCATGCTCTCAACGTGTTTACATGCTATTTTGCTTTAATCCCTTCTCCTTTCATTTCAACATTATCTTCATTTCAGTAAAATCCTTGGGTAATTCCAAAACTACCATTTATCCAATGAGTTGTAAGGTGTATTTATCTATATGTATCACTATCAAATGTATAGAAATTAAGCATTAATAGACTGAAAATCAAGTTCAGTCATGCAGTCCTATTATGGGACTGGATCAGTTTGTCCAGGCACCCATTGTCACCTGTTTTGCAATTTTGGCTATATAACTCATATTTTTAGGTTACGTTTGGATAAGCCTCAGGATCTGTACTTTTAAAGCCCAAAAACACAAAGCTCCAATTTTAGGCTTTCTGCTTTGGGACTTATATTTGGTTCAGATTATAATGTTTATAAAAGTAATTCTTGCCCCACGGTCAAAAACACTTTTTGGCTTGATTTTATCTTCCACGGCTTATCCAAACAACGCCTTAATCTTAAGCTACTGCTACCTTGTATTTTACTTCTATTGAATTTAATAACCGGGGAATGTTACAGAAAACAAGGTTGCCGATCAATATTAAACGGGTTTAATTGATTTGTTTGCGTTTTATTATAATTTAGATTGTCACTCATATCAAATTATTCACAACTGCATAGAAATACCCTAAAATTTATGTATGCCAAATAATTTTTCATTTAAAATGATATTCAAAGATAGCCTACTAGGGAGTAGGGACTTAGTATCGATACTTGTGCAGCTGCACTTGGTTTGGAAAGTATCCTGAAGGCCTCAACCAAGGTTCAAAGTATTGATATGTATTGTGCCAATGGTTTCCTGATATGTCCCTCCAAAGATTGTATCGCATCAGACACTGGTTTAGAGGGTATCTGGGCCTTAAATCGACCCCCTCTGAACCGGTTTTGAAAAAAAAAATAAGTAAAACCTAAAAAAAAAAAGTACCGATACAGGTTGATACGCCCTACCTCAGCTACCATATGTGGAAGATGGATTAAAATAGCAATGGAATGCTATTGGGCGTATAAGATATAAGATATGACACTCTTAAGTTTTGTTTGGGACATGAAAGCAAATAATAAACTGTACATGTTCAACCAAGTAATTTTTTTAGGGTTCTACTATGATACCAGAAAGATACGATATCTTAAAAACTTATGACAAAATTAACAGGTATCATTTTTTAACCCCAAACTTTACTCCAGGTGGAGGGGTGACCACCTTAAATTTTATTAATCATTTTCAAAAGAAAAATTTGTAACAGCAGGGGAGGACTTAGCCCACCTTGCCCCATGACCCAAGCATACATAACTCTCCCTCACCATCTCACGCTCACCCAAAGAAAAACAAAAGAAAAGAAAAATCTAACAAAATTTAATTAATCAGGATAAACAAACCCAAATTATAAACATCTTAAACAATCAGGTGGTATTTATCAAAATTTATAAATAAATTTTGATTGATCAGAACTCTTCTGGTACCATGCCTTTCTAGCATGATTCTTAATTTTTATGTGGTATGATTCCTAATTTCTTATTATGTGTTGTAATGTATTCCATCAATCCTGCATCCAGTGAAAATGTTTGCAGAAATTCCAATCTACTAGTTTAAATCCTTAAGCTGTCCACCTGAGGAGGACGCCCGTTACTGTGCCCCTACTAATAACCTTACTCGTGTTTCCAAGAAAAAGGATGCCAATAAGGCAATAAGTGCTGTCACATAGATATTGACACTGAATATTGATATTTAAAATTTGGAAAATGACTT